TCCTTCTGTTCACGTTAGACTTCGAGTTTCCTCTCAAACCAGAACCCTCCATCCATTCGACAAGCCGCAATTTATACGCTTAAATAATGGCTTTTGTAAATACTACTCAGTTGGGTATTTTCCGCCCCTTTTGGTCCATTTTACCCTACCTGCAGAGTACCCTCATAATGCTACGCCGACATTTTCTCTAGAATGCACCTGGATCCTTACAGACCGTCTTGAGGAGATTATCAAACAGTTGAACACGTATCTGGACACCAAGGAGAAAGGTGAACCCTGCTTGTGGGAATGTTTTGACTTTCTCGAATGGCAGCTCATTCCTGTACTTCTTGGCCTTCCCAAAGATGAGGACGGAAGCTACCTCTACGATATAGAAGAGTGTGTTCCAACTCGAATAATGCGCGAATATGCCTTGACGGTGTTGGTTGAGCATGATTTTGAAGAGAAGCGGAAGCGTTTTATGGATGAGAAAGTGGAATGCCCTGTCTGTTTAGAGGATAAATTTGGCCGAGAATGTGTACGGTTGGTTGGGTGTGGACATATTGCCTGCCATGAATGCATGAAAACTGCTTTGGAGGCACATATGAATGAAGGTATTATGGCTGGTGTATTCCGATGTATGCAATGCGATAACGTTGTCGATCTGCAAGAGGTTTGTTAACTACTTATAGCGATTCCATTTAATTCTTATTTGTTTAAAAATGCAAAGTCATGCAGCCATCCCTTGATTTAGTTTTTTTGAAGTTTTCTGGAAAGAGCGCTATAGCTTATAAAATTATATAAGGTTAAGATCTACGCCCCCTTGTATCTGTTTCAAGTTGAGAGAGGGAGAGGGAGAGAGAGACGATTTGGGCAACAAGTCTCCGTTCCCATCGATTATTGAAGTTAATCAATGTCAATCTGATCAACTTCACTGTATGATTGCAAAATGTTGACCTGAAAACTTTAAGATATTGCACAATCTAGTGTAATCTACCTTGCATATATATTTCACACTACGATTTTCTTTGTCTCTTCAAATAACTGCTTGTTGGTCGAGGTGCTTTTGCGAGTGGAAATATATACATATATATAGAGGTTCCATATGAATACAAAACGGTTTTGCATTATATTTTTATTTATATAAGTAGTGAATACCACCTTCGAAAAGTCGTGTGTGCGCGTGTGTGTATGTGTGTGTTATATGCTCAACCAGTTCTTGGTTAATCTCAAGGCATAACCGTAAAAATGCCAACTAAGGTGGCATCCACACTAAGAGGATATAGTAGACGAATACTATTTCGTAATAGCTCAAAAAGGGTCCACTTATCAAGGGACTATAGTTATTATAGCCTAGAGTTATTATTTCTCCTCATTCTTTTGCCGTATGTTTCTCTATAAGCAAACATCTGGCAGCCGTGTCTATTTTCAACTATAGCTACAAGGGAATGCGGTTGTGCATGCTTCACTGTGCGCACACGGTATTCTACTTACTGCCAAGATCATTATTTCTTCCTCCTGTGTTTATCTATGTGATTTTTGACTTAAATTACTTGAATTCAATTCCAGGTGAAAGAATTTACCACTCCAGAAAAGCTGCAGGCCTATGACAACTTTCTTCTTCAACGAAGTCTTGCTCTAATGAACGATGTAGTCCGATGTCCACGCCAGAAATGCGAAAGCATCTGCCTTATCGACAATGACAATCTAGCCCGTTGTCCGGTATGTCAGTACGCCTTCTGTCCACGATGTCTGCGGCTGAGTCACGTTGGTCAATCCTGTGCACCAGCTCCTGAAATCCTAGAAGTTACCGAGCCACCTAATCGCGAAAGTGAGAATAATGGAGTAAAAGAGGAGTTTAATGGTGAGAATCGAAATGTGGAGGCAGAAGCACTCACCTTTATCCGTTACGAGGATAAGGAAATTCCAACTTTTGGTAAGAAATGGCCATTTCTTAGAGGATATGTTTTTCTTAATGTTATGCGATTAAACATGAGGTAGACCCGATAGTGGGGAAGAAAATAGTTGCTTTGAAGTTGATTAGATGGGAAAATGTTACACAGTGCAACACACAACTATTAAATAAATCAATATGCTTGATTGTTCGTGATGAGAACAGGGAAAAGAAGGGTGTATTCTTAGATCACCATTTTCTGTCCTCAAAAAATAATTCGAAATGTTTTATTTGTTCCGTTATGCATACTGAACAAAGTACTCACTAACGTTCCATAAATGAATGGATTATCTTAAAATAATTTAATTATTGTTTAAATAAAGCACTTTACTTTCATCAATCCGGTGGAATATTCGCGATTTCGAAGATATCATTGTTTAAAATATCGTCACATTATCCGTTCCATCGCGAAAAAGTTGCACTTATTTTAATTTGAACAGGTTAAATAGTTGAATAATTAAGTAAGGGGGGGGGGGTGGTTTTTGAATTGGCGTAAATAAAAAGATCGATATTTGGATATGTAGTGGTTGATGATAAAAAGCCGCATTTACATGCATTTTTAAGAACCTACAGAAACCAATGCAATGCTAATTTGGAGATTGGCTCACGAAGGTGATAAAATCAGGAGACGGGAATTGATAGAAAAGATAACAAAACGAGTTGGCTCCATTTCCGATGTAATTGTCTCTCGCAAATTCAAGGATATGAATTTCAACAGGTGTCCTAACTGCGGCCTCTTTGTAAATGTAAGTATTCCTTCGTGTAAACTTTAATTAGAATGAAATAGAAGAGAGGTAGAAGAATGAAAGTAATTTTTCAATTCCTCCGAGAATAAGAATACTTTCGAAAACTGTGGTTTTCCAAAGCTGTGATTCTTCAGTTGGAACACTATTTGGCATCGCTGACTGCCACACTTTTGAAATGTATTCCAAACGAAATAAAACCAGTATGGTAATAAGAACTAGCAAATCAAAATAATAGCAAGAGTCGATTGGTTTTGAAAACAGATCGAAAAGTACAATGAAATTTTTTTCATTTAGGGACGATAGAGGATATGTATGACCAAAGTGTATCTATTGGGCTCAGTAGTCAGTGCTTGCACTTGGTAAGTGTGAGATGAGCAGATCATTGGTTGTAGGTGCGCATTCAGTTGAGTGGGTGACCAATGCGCCTCGAAAGAAATCATTCTATCTGATCCATCTATTTGGCACATGCCAGAGAGCGTAAGCAAAAAGCTACTCGTCACTAGATTGTTTTGGTAGAATTGTTGTAATGATCACCTCTTTTACTTATCACAACACCATCATTGACATTACTCCCACTATCATTTAAATTAATGCTGTATTTATGCTTGTTAAATATGCTTTTTTCCCTTTTTTTGTAGAAATTTACTGGATGCAACTTTGTTTTTTGTCCAGTCTGCAGTAAGACCTTCATTTTCGGAAGTTAATTAAAGTAACCCCCATTCTTGCCTATTGATCAATACCCAAATTAGTAATATTTGGAAAAAATAATAGAATAAAATGAACAGAAACTATCCACTTTCTGATCTCCTAATGTGTTTTGAATCGAATATTTGTTGACGGGTTTAAAAATGTAATTAATTTGTAAATATGGGCTACAAAGTGATAATTCAATTGAAAGTATAATTAATAAGTACGTTGTAGAAAGTGGAATCTCTATGATGCCGTGAATACGTTCAATGTCGAGTGTAGTGGATGCCGCACAAATAAGTGTATTGATTGAACAGTTTTTCTTATGTGAACTAAGTTCGCAACTGCAATTGCATCGTTCTCGCTTGCTCGTATCTGAGATGGAGATGTCTCAGTCAGTGTATTGCTGGTTAAAGCATAGAGATGGGATGGATGTGAATTTCCATCCAATCCTATAGCGGATTCCAACACGGATAAAACGTTCACTAACTCAGAAATCTCTGTGGCAGATCTCCCTAATAGGAAAGGTTGCCGCGATGATAGTGAGAAGGAAGACGTGTTGCCAGCAAAACGTTTATTGAAAATTATTGTGTTGGTAAATATGATTGGTTATCAAATATATCTATTTTAACTTGAGTGAACTCATAAAGCAAAATACCTGAGCAATGCAATGCACATATGGCCGTACATTCCAAATAGTGTGCGGATTGTGTACGCCACGAACCTAAGAAAAAAAATAATCTGTCTTCGTCCTCTGGATATGAGCAGGTCTCTAAAATTAAGGCAATCACAGGCATTAACAAGCTTAAAGTTATTATTAAAGATAAAAGAGGGTATCTATAAATAGTGATGGTTTTGTTGTGTTGTGCCATCTACCGATTCCATCGGGACTATAAGTAACCAGAGCTTACTTCCAAAATTAATAAGAATTTGTGGGAAACTTCATCACACCAATAGAAATCCTGCTACAGGACACTACTCAGAGATGTTTAGCTATTAATGTTCACTCGACTTATGCTAGATTTATCTGCTAACTAATCGCTGTGCCAAAACACACTTCGCTATCAATATACGTACTGAATAAACGTACTACGTGATACACGTCTGTTTCCTTTATAACTTTGTCTTAGCTTAGCTAATTCCCAGGGACTTTCGAGTTGGAAGAAACTGCTATAGAGCTTTCTGAGAATATTCAAGGTTATTGAGGTAGCTAATCCGCTACAAATTACCCCATCGGCGTCATGGGAAGAGAGTTTATACAACTTTTACCTTTGAAGATATATTTTCAACCGTGAAGTAGAAGATGAAAGCGAAAAAATGCATTAGAGTAAACGACTATTTGCATTTATGTTGACAGCTACCACATTATTTACTTTGATAACAACGTTCGTTTGTTAGCATCATTAATATACTATGACATTTCAAGGCCTTGGTCTTCAGAAAAATAATAATCACGCTCTTTTATTAGATAAACTTTGTAAATGCCTCTATTAAACCTTTGAAAAAACTTAAAGAAATGTAAACAGCTGTCTTAATTACAATTTACGGTGAAATACGTTTAGCACAATTATAATTGGCACAAATAAATAGCAGAAAGAAAGCAAAAGTAAATAAATAGCTTAACGAGAATGACTTCAAGATGTTTGCGGTTTTCTCATCATATTTTTAAATTCCTCAAAGGAGATTAAGCCATTTCCATCAAGATCTGCTTCTTTAATCATCTCATCCACTTCGTTGTCCGACAGCTTCAAGTGAAGTGTTTTCAGAACATGTTTCAATTCATCAGTTGAGATGCTTTCATCACCGTTCTTGTCGAAGAATTTGAAGGCCGCTCGATGGTAAACATCAGCACCTGTGCCATCTTCGGATAGCAGTGGTTGCATCATAGCCACAAATTCATGGAAATCTATTTTCCCATCATGATTAGTGTCCAAATGCCCCAGTATCTCCTTTGCCTCGTCGTTTGTACAGGCTCGATTGAATTGTTTCATCATTGATTTGAGCTCGGATAGGGAGACGTACCCATTGTGGTCACGGTCGAAAATTGCAAAAACCTCTCGAAGCTCATCCATTATTTCTTCGCTTGGAGAACTTGACATATCTTGATTCACGGACATGATTCAGGGTGCAAGCCCTACCAAGTGGTAACCATGTCATGGAATTGATTAGGGTTGCTTTATCACGTGAAGTTCATTCACTTATCTCCTCCCAACCATTAGACATGCAAGAGAAAGCCTGACATTTCGTCGACTGTAAGATGCCTACATAACGTGAATTAGCGACGGAAATTGGTACTCTCTTCCATTGCGTTATCGGCACTTACATTTACCTCAAATTAATCGCCTTTAAAAGACAAAATATAATCGTCCCACATAGCACTAAATCATAAATTTGATTTAAGCTGGCCTAGCATGGCAAATTTTAATTATTTATTTAAATCAAATGGCAGGCGTTTTTGATAGTTATCATTAGCCCTTTAGCTAACTTTGGGCTTCACAGAGGGGAAGGAAAATCAAAGTGAAAAAAAGTCGAGAGGGGGGGGGACAGAAGAGGGTTTTCAAAGTCGAAGGTAGAAAAAGGTGAGGTGACTACTGTGAAAGTAGTCGAATATGGCATAGAGTGGGGTGATGGTAGTTTGGAGTGAGAAGTCAACTGCCAGTTAGTAGACTTTTTTGCCGTAAGAGTATACGTTGCCCAGGATGTACCACGTGGAGGTGAGTCTATCGCACATCCCAAATTTTAATTATAGTTATATTATAATTACTTTCACACAACGACACACTACTTTGTTTGATACTTTTATTGTATCACATAAACCAAATTTCAGTTCTAAGTCGTCTTTTAATTCGCGTGATAAGAAAGCACTACAACTAAAACAACGAAAGTATTGTAGCTGGTGCCAAGAGGTTGGGTTTTTCCACCGAGAGCATGTGTTGACGCATAAATTTTTACTAACCTAATTGTCGGGTGAATTTTGTTGGTTGTTCGACAGATTATCATGGAACGCAAGACTACTGAGGAAGCACAAAATAGCTCGTGGTTCATCATAAAAGTAAATTTTCCATACAGGTCAAAGTAGTATAAATAAAATTAAGCTCCCCAAGGGTGAGAAAGGTGGGCCAATCGACATTGAAGTGTAAGGGAACAGTGAGCTTACTACAACTGCTGCTAATGTACACATAGGATCTAAATTGCTAATATCTCTGATCCCTGGTTTTATTGACTCGCTCCACGCCCACATCGATTCGTTGTTAACGTGATCTCATACTGATTTAAGGCTGCCATCTTAGCCTCAATTCCTCAGTAGAGGCGTGCATAGAGACTCACAGTCATATCTCCCCTAGTAAGCTCCACTGTTTACCATACCAACAGCCCCTCCGATACTATTTCAGCTCTCACTCTTCTATCACAACATGTCTTTGCCTACTCCTCTCACCTCATTTATTTGCTACTTTCCAATACACCCACGATCCAACCCCCCGTTTTCCAATTTCGGGAAAAGCCGAAGTACGTTGCTGATCCTCAAAAAGACCAATCGGGTTCTTAGGACCTTCAGTGGAGAGATTTATGTTTCATTAAAGTTCAAATCACCACGATTTCAACTATAGACACGCTATACTTGGTTCTCGAAAGCCTTCAATCCACAGCATCATTTTTACATATATATGCTTTCAGAGTCCCTTACGTCGACATGCAATAAAGTCAACCAAATTTGAAGGCATCAATATTAAGCCCAAGACATTATTATTAAAAAAGCATGGAAAAAACACTGATTATTTTTGCTCCGCTCTACGAATTGCCATGAGGAATGGATGCGTATCATGGAGATAGATAGGAATCGTTCTCTCAGCATAATAGTCGCTCTTCAACTCAATATTGGCAATCACATCTTCTGCCAGATACGCCTTTCCAACTTGAGTTCCACCATCTGCTGAACTATCAACATGAATGAAATGCATATGAAGACGATAAAAGGTAGGTGGATAATGAAAATAGGCTACTATTTGATCCTGCCTCAAACATTCCTCTCTTCCCTCTTCACCACTGTACTTTTCGACAAGCCTCTTCCTCCCGTCAGCAAGCATCTTCTTCAACATAGGGAGATGGCAGGCTCGCAAATCCCTCAAGCACATCAACCCAGCATCTCTAGCAAGGGCCAAGGCATGAAGTTCCTTAAGATCCTTTTCATCCCAACGATAATCCAAAACAAGTGTAAAACCGAGGCTTGGATCCTCGTCAGTGAATAAAACTCGTTCAACTTCAGCTGTGCCATTGAGGATGTTTTCAACCCAACCCAGATCCTTCGGATTGGATTCGAGAAAAGGGAGAACGACACTCTGATAGACCTTCGGTGTCTCTTGCACGATTTGACGATTTGATGAAGAGTACTTGGCAAAATGCTGTGGTGCAGCTGGATGAATCACAGTCATGGAGACTTTATTCACACCCTCCAAACCAGTCATTACGGAGGAACGATAGTAGATATCATTATTTACAACGTCTTCTACTTTCCATTCAGGGAAATCAACCTGATTTGAAGTCACTGTATCTGGATTCTCTTCAACATAAGTAGCACCGATTTTGGCCGAACAAAGAGCTGAAACTTCACTAGGAAAGGGAGACTTTTGCAATATTACAATACCATCTTCTTCCAATGAGTCTTTAAACTTAACGTGAAGGCAAATCGTTTTGTTACGAGTATCGTTACGGAGCACTCGCAAAATCTGAGTATTGGAGGGAGAGTATGAAGCCGAATTGATTTCAGGAGACTTGGATTCAGAAGTACGACGTCTTTTCAGTGGTGAAGCAGAATTATTCGTTTGTTCTTGGGATAAATCCGATGAGCTCATTTCGTGCACAATTAGAGGTCACGAAAGTCAATTTCAAGGGCAATTACGTCTGTTTCACGAACTCGAGTTTTGGGAACAATTCCAATTGGCGTGGTGAGGTTTTTGCAGCAAAGCACACCCTCAGGATAAGAACAGTTAGCAAGAAGAGGAGCCCAAACTTCCAATTCACAGGACAAGGAATTTTCGAAACTGTGCAGATGTAATTGAGCACAAACGTCACGATTAGTAATGAAGGAAATAAGAGAAAGGAAACGTAAGTGAGCCTCCTCACAGTCGTTAAGTTGCATAAAGACTTAAAGACCGTCGTGAATGTAAGATAAAGGAGGATTATAGTAGAGATGAGTCAAATTTGAGTGATCAGCCGGATGCAGATTCTAAAATAGAAAGAAGTATGCATGAGCAGACACTATAAAGGGTTCAAAGGAAAATGTGCTCGTAAACTTACGTCTGTTACTAACAAAATAAGATCAACTAAGTACCATAAGCCAAGTCCCCCAATTGACCACATTTTAAGCGATCCTAGACGAGGTTTACAAACATAAGATGAACAAACCCAAAGCAATGTAACCAAGATAGAATCTGTCCAGCCCAAAAAGGCCTCCGAATATAGAAAGAAGTAAAGCTATCTCATGATTGTACCCATTACTAAAGGAGAAAAGCGACAAATTACTATATATTACGTACGTCCATAAACAGGTAACATTCTTGAAAAAGTACTCCACTCCATTTGCTTCTAGCAAATCGGCACATGAAATGCCAGGAGCAGGATAACATTTAACTAAAAAATGTTTCATTTATCAAAACAGTTTACTTCTAGTGATGCCAGATGGATCAGAACAAAAAATGGGTTCTTGAGTCAAATTAAAAATATGTGGTTCATCACATTTATACTGCCCAGGAAGAAGATGTGAACACCTAAAACCCGAACCAACGCTTCCAAAGACCATAATATTAAAACAGAGAAGAACGAATATGACACGCATCAAGAGGAAATGACGAAAACACACCCAAGAAGTACAAAACAGGAGCTCGAATAAGGAGTGGAAATCTAAATAAAGATGAAACCTGAATAAAACCAATGGACAAACGCAATTATGCATACAGATAGATCAAACAAAATTAAAATTCACTATTAATTGCTTCTACGTCAAAGCTAAGTATGAATATTTATTTTGGTGAATTTGCTATTTTAACAGCATAAACAGCAAACTTTTCAAAGAAGATTCTTATTTTTCACCTTCAATGTAAGTCGAAAAGACAAAATATGTTGGGCTTCAACACATATATATGAAATCGTGTTTATCGATTTCATAAAGACTGTTATCTTTTAAAACTATTGATATATATTATTTTATATGAAGGAAAATTCACTTTAGTGTCTGACACTCCACTTAATTTTTGGTCAATGCTATCGAGGCATTAAAATTATACATTGTAACATATACTAATTTTATTGTAACGAGCTGTATAATAAATAGGAAGAATGACTCTTTAAAGCACTCATTTAAAAATTAAAATAAGCCAAATTCCTTGAACAAAATATATTATCCATAGGTAAAAGAATTTTTATTGGCGTTGTTAACAGTGTGAGACTCTATTGACAAAGTTAAATGTCACATAAAAATGTAACTTTAGTAAGATCAATGCACGGTTAATTTTATAGTGATTGAATACATAGGTTGCACAATCGTGCGATGGAATGAAAAATAATATCTGCACTTAGATAAGATGGGGATAATATCCATTTCAGACGCTTAGAATAATTTTGCTCAAACTCTGTTATTCACGATTTGGATGCTATTCATATTGGATAATTAGATTTTAAGATAAATTTAAGAGAGGGAGTATGAATTGAATTCCACAAAAATTGTGATAGTTTAAAGTTGACATTTTAGAAATGGCAGATTCATTAAATGAAAAATTTTAAGACATCTTTATTAGTGAGATTCAGCTCAAAATTTAAATGCTTTGTTATATAAGTTGAAATTATTTCAAAATGCGAAAATAGTAATGATTTTTACTGCTCTATATACTAAAGTGCGAATTTTTAAGCCTATTTTTGCAATAATATAAGTGAAAATCCATTATGTTGGGGAAACAGTTTTGTTTAAGTTACTTAAATTCATTTAAATTGCGAGACATTGTTTCGTTTTCACTACCAGGTTGAATGGCTTCAGAGGTGTACTTTAGATTCAAAGCTAGCATCAAGCAGGATACAATTCAGTTTGACGGCTCTGCAATTTCTGTTAAGGATTTGAAAAATGCTATAAAAACAAAGTGCTGTTTACGTGCTTCGGATTTTGATTTGAAATTGGAGGATGGCTCCGGAAAGGAATATATTAAAGAAAACGAATTGATTCCAAAATATACCAGTATAATCGTCAGACGTGTTCCCAAAGCTAACGGTGAATCTCAGAGGAAAAAACCACTTCAAGTTACAGTTAGCCGAGAAAAGAATGTAAGTTAATTTTTTTAATTCTTTTATGAAGTCTTAATTTATCTTACGCCTTTCCTCCATTTTAGTTTGGGAATTCTTCTATTACTCACTCAAACGTAAGCCATTTCTTTCATTTTTATCTTTTTAGTCGGCAACAAATTTGGCAGAATCAAATCTTTCTGAAGACGACAAGATCAAAATTATGTTCGACAGAACAGCCGAAGGTCTTTCATCAAAATAGTAAGGCTTACTTTTTGAATAACATGGCTTTAGTTATACGGTAAAACCAAAAGCATATGGAGTTCCTCCACCGCATTACGTTTGCCACAAGTGCAATCAAGAAGGACATTGGATACACGAATGCCCAGGAATTAAGGATTCCCGGGGTAACCTCTTGGATTCAAAAACTGTCAAACGTCCAACTGGTATTCCTCAGGATTTCTTAGTAAGAGTTGAGCCTGGCACTCCTGGTGCATATTTAGACAAAAATGGACGCTATATGGTGCCAATTAAGGATGCGTAAGTAGCACATTTCCATAAACTATTTTATGCCACTAGTGAGGCTTATTTGCAAAGTAAAAAGGAAAAGCGTCCTTTCTCTATCGAAGAAAATCCTCCCTATGTTCCTCCTGAAAAGCCCGTCCCTTCTGAGGGACTTTTGTGTCCTTTGTGCAAGAATATTTGCAAAGCCGCTGTGCTGGTGACTTGCTGTGGTACCTCATTCTGCAGTGAGTGCATAACCAATTACTGCTTTGTTGATGGTCATCAGAAATGCCCGAAATGCGGTGAACCAAAGGAAAAACTGGAGTCTTCGATAGTTGAAAATACATCCCTACGACGTGCTATTGAAGATTTCTTGCTTATTGATGCTAAACCAGAAATTTCAAATATTCCATCACCTCCAAAACCAACTGCTGAGGTCAAAGAGAGTGAGGTTAAACCTGAGGTTAGTTTGCATTCTTCTCAAATTTGCTTTTCTTCTAGATTGTCCGCCGAGTGTTAAAACCAAAACAACAAATCGCGGCAACCTCGATCTCAAATGCTGAAGAGAATGTAGAAGATAAAAATGAAGAAATTGTACAAGAAAAGCGGGAAGAAGGCGTGAAGGAGAACAAGGAAGATGATAAGCCCAAAGAAACTCCTTCCGAATCTGGTTCTCCGAAACCCTCCCAACCATCCACATCACCTTCCGTTACAGTTAAATCTGATTCATCTGTTAATAAACCCTCTGACACCGTTGCTTCTGTTATTTCTAATACAAATAGCTTAGCCAATTTGCCTTGTGGAAATAATTCACTTGGTGCAGAGAGTGTTATTACGAATTTGTCAAACGTTGCCTCTGTTTATAATGGGGCTCCTTTAGTATTTCCCAGTGAAAATGCTGCCTCTGCTGTATCTCTTGCTAGCTTGGCAGCATTATCTTCTGTAAGTCAGTCCCAGCCCCCCCTTAATTCCGTTTTTCCCACGAATCAACTTTTGCCCTGGGCTCCGATAGATCAGCTCTCTCTACTCGGGTGCATTAACCCTAGTGGATTCCCTAATCCTTCACTTAATCCACTATTGGACGCTCGCGGAAAAGTTCTATCAAAGGAGGAATTCTATGGGATTCAGAGGAAGTATGCGGAAGAGTCAGAACGAAGGTAAGAAAATTGAGTCCTACCTTCAAGGTTTCGATGGGATTCGCTTGTATTTTAGTTGTACTTCCTTCTTTGTTGTGACTTTAGAAGACGGCGGTGTAGGGTGGCATCGCCTCGTCATAGACATGATGTTCCAGATGATTACTACGGCAGACATCGAGATGATCGAAGAATTCGTAGAAGATCTTCCATAGTAACATCAAGGCGCCATCGTTCACGCAGCGGTTCCGATCGTCGTCATAGAAACAGAGAAAGAAAACGTGATGATTATGAGACATGGCTTCGAAAAAAGCGAGAAGCCGCTGCGTTAAAAAATCATCACCGGCCTTCTCCATATAGGCCACGTAGGAATGATTCCCCAATTTTACCTACTTCAGTTTCCGCTCCCAGACGTGGCTACTCTCGTGAGATTTCACCTCCAGTGGAGCGTACTCGCAGATCCGAGAATAATGTGGATAAATCGCGTTTAAGAAGGTGGAGTTTTTTTTGAATCCAAATTGATTTGTTTATGAATATTTATTGCTAGTTTAGTTCTTTCTAGTGACCTGATATGAGATTAGATTATTCATTCTTAACTAATCTGTGTTGATAATTTAAAACGAATCTAGCATTGTTTAAGGTCATTTTGATCGAATATTTGTCAACCGCAGTTTGTATCGAAGTAATTATTTAATAATGAAATGTATTTATGTAAGCTGTAGGGAATCAAAAGTTGCGTTTAACTTCCGTCAAGTAAAGGTTTTTCTTGGACTGTATTGCTTATCATTTCAGTTTTTTAGTTAGTAGCGTCTCATCGAGTTCATTTAGAGTTACCTATGACTTCGATTTAGATTTTCATCGATTTTTATGCTTTTGAATTCTGGTTGGTAATTTTAATTATCTGAAATTTGCATTTATACTTTTTGTTTTGTTCGATTTCAAACTGAAATTTTATTTCCTAAAGTCCATTCCGCGATGGATCACCATCAAGACGTTCTCTGGAGGATGTGTCTCCTGTCCATGATGATAGTTCTCGTGCCGAAAATCGCACCAATGTTGAACCTGATACTACTCCTATTCGTTCTCCCCGTAAACGCTCAGCTTCACGCGAAGACTCTGTTTCACTATGTGCCTCCATCACTCAGTTATCAAATTCAGATGTTGTGTTGGATGAAAAGACCATGAAAAAAATCCGTAAAGAGCAGAAGAAGAAAGCCAGACGGGAACGAAAGCTGTAAACGTCTCTTTATGCCGTATCCCTATTAATAACTTGTTCTGAGTTCATTTATAATTCCGTTCTCATTATAGGGCTCGGAAAGCTGCTCGAGCAGCTAAAAAATCAACATTACCAACGGGTGAAGGCGATGATCACAATTCTCCGTTACCACTCAGTCCGTCAAGTTCGAAATCGAAGCATGAAAAAAAGAAAAGGAAACGAAGACACAGACACGAATATAGTGACTCAGATGATGGAGAAAGTGAGTCGAAGTCAAGTCGAAGGAATCGAAGTAGGTCTAAACGATCTGCTGGCTCAGATGTGGACGAAGAGGACGCTTCATAAGCTCCACTTGTTTTCCTCTGCCTATATTTAGTTGTGTACAGTTATATTTTGATTAATATATCATAATAACCGATTTATAATGGTTTTTCTATATCTAGTTGTGTTTTGGTTGAGTTGTTACTTGTCTGGATCTGTAGAAGATTAAAAGGTTGAAAAAAACATTTGTTCTTCTGGGTTTGCTCATGGGGTTAGTTCTAGGGTCGATTTTTACCTAATATAGTAACAGAATGAATCTCAAATACTGCTTTACTAATCGATGGCTGAATGACGCTTCTACTGCGGGCAGTAATGTATTTATACTATACAGCTTGACTGGAATGCAGGACACCTTCGTCAAGTAAACGGTTGCGTACGACGGTGGAGAATCCTCTTGATCGCTTAACATAAAGCCAAAGTACAAGGAACCTTGGCATGCGAGATGGGTGGAAATTAGGAACCTGTGGATTACTTGAACAGGATTGAGAGAAATCAAATAAGTAGCTTAAAATAATCCTTCAACTATGATTGATGTATTTTTTCAGAAAGATTTGACTGGGTTGTGAGTGTAGTAAAGCTATCTAACAATGTCAAGAATCAGTGAATCGATGAGAAGAAATGGGGTGATCGCTGAACGCCATTACACTATAGGGTCACCAAATTGTGGGAACTTAATTAACTAGCCCTAGATCTTAGAAACAAGTGCTAGTGTTGGCAACTAAAATTAGCAAGCAACAGTTACAGAATGTGCTGGCCATGCTGTGCTGAAATTACCGGGATGAGAAGTCGAGAGAATGGGGATGAGAGAGTAGGTAAATGGCAAGACTGTGTCTGCGTTGTGTGTGCGAATGGAAATACAAAACAGTTTGCGGAGTCATTTGAACAGTGACGGGCGTGAGAAATGAGGTCTAGACTTGGTGGTTTGAGTAGTCTCTAAGCATTTTAAGAATTTCTAATTTCCAGATAAGCTAATGGCTGGTAGGGAGGAAATGGGTTGTAAAGAGTAAGGGAGATTTAACCCAGGGAATTCTAGAAGCATGCCTTCGCTTAGTCCAGTAAACTATGCGATGCTACTTCCTCAAAAGATGGGTGAGCGATAGACTTACCTCCACGTGGTGCGCCCTGGGTAATGTATACGCATACGGCAAAAAGTCTATAAACCTTTAATTGACTTCTGACTTCAAACTATATGTCGTACTCGACTACTTTCACAGTACTCACCTTTCCTTTTTCCCTGCCTTTGTGTCTGTCT